AAAAAGCAAAAGAACGCGCAATGGCGCCAATAACCAACGATTATTCAAAAATTCAAATAAACATTTGTAAGTTATAAAATTTATTAATTCTCGTATGACAAATGATCATTGTGCCATTATGAAAAAAAAACAAAATATTTATTTAGATATGATTCCATAGTTCACTGTTCGGCTTTATTTTTATCTAGTTATACTCTCTGCGGCTAGATGGATGGCAAAAATGAAGATATAAAATGTAAATCGCCATAGCATGAATAGAGTATGTAATTTTTGTACAAAATTCCGCAATGTTAGACAGTTCAAGAGATATGCCGCCAGAAAATCATTACGCGCTGCCATTCAACGTGGCGTTTCCTCGCTACAAGAAGTCGCAATCCAGGTAAAAGTAGACAAACTTGCCATCAAGCCATAGGGGTGTTGGCTTTCAATATTTTTGCAAAAAAACGTGCAGATGAGAAAAAAGGTGCTGATATTGAGAATCGCCTAGCCCATGTAATCGCCATGGCTGAACTAGCTTTAAAAGATCGCAATATTGAAAAGGCTGAACAAATCTTACATTCAGCACTTCGACTTGCAGAAGATAATAAAATCAATGTAGGTGTCTCTTGTGTTTATGACATGCTGGCGACTATAGCGTTCCAAAAGGTGAAATAACACAAGCCGAAAATTACTTAGTACGCATAATAGAACGATTGATTCAGCTAGGATACCCAGAAGAAAACAATACAATTATAAATTTCAAACTTAAATTATCAAGGATTTATGCTAACATTCACAATGATGAATTGGCAGAAATGGGATTCAAAATTGTTTACGTATCCAGAACCGCAAAACTACCGGCCCATCAGATGAAGAAACTGAACATCTACTGGTGAGCATACTATTTTGGTACGGTAAATTTCTGATGGATCGTGGTAGACCAGAACAGGCTAGACGAAAATTGGAGCAAGCATATTCGCATTCTGAAAGGGTTACTGGTATCAAGCCAGCTCAGAAATGGTTTTACTTTATTATTTAGCCGATTTGTGTTTTGCGATGAAAGATTTTGAAGCGGCAGAAAGGCATTTGGTGAACGCTTTGGTCATCGGAAAAACCGCAGATAATCCGGATACTCCACATTATTTAGTTAAATTAGGTGCTGTTTATCTTTTCCGAGGAATGTATGATAAGGCTCGAGTTTGGTGCCAGCGTGGTGAAAATTTGGGTAAAAGGAACAAAATCGAACCGCCATATCTGATGCCAGAGATTGTTTGAAACAACTGGACGAACTGCAAGCAAAAATACCGCATTGAGAAACCACAAAATTGGCAGAAATATATATGTATTATCAATAAATACATTCGTTTGTATCGCTATTTATTAATCTTGTACATAGTTTTGGTTCTTACTTTGTAATTTGTGGAACTATGAATAATATTCATATTACCTATTCATAAGAAATATAAATATTCATACATATATTTTTTGATTATATATTATTTTTAGTGTTACACAAATCTAAATTACGTTTAAAATATAATGTATTTGAATAATCAATTTATTATGTTAATAATTTGTTTAAGTTTTACTTCACATATATAGGGCTCTTGTGAGAAAGAGCAATTTATATTTATAATAATTAATTTATTTCTATCTAAATAGATATGAATATTGAATATATAATATATAATCTTTGTAATATATATTTATACAATACAAATATTTAGTTATATAGGTTCTCTTAAATGCTATAACAGTCAGATACTTTGTAATAGATATAGCAGCACATTTTTTAAATCTGCTGAAGGTACTGTGGACATATATCTTATACAATACAAACAAATTTACATCGTAAGCAAATATATATTTAAAGCAGCATATCAACTGCTATTTACAAACGTTTTCAAAATTATCTTCAGCAATTCTTCATTATTCTATAAATGTAATTCTGGTACGTTAGATTTGAAAATTTTATCTAATATGAAACGCTCGTAAATTCACTAACAAAAGATTAAATTAAATTAGGAATTCGAGATTGGATCGATATTAGATGGTTATTAGAATATATTAGTTTTGTGGCTATTTTTGACGATACACAAACATGAATTAAAGCATATTTTAATGCATTGATTGTATTTATTCTTAGGAAATGATTACTATTTATAAAATATTTAGATTTAGTCTTCGGTTTTTATGCTTTAAGCATAATGACTTCAGATGAATTTATTATAATTCTTGCAAATTTTAATTTCATCACTTAACTGTTAACTGTTTTAAATGAACTATTGCACTTTTATTGGTCAATTACAAGTTGCCTAAATAACTCCTTTTTAATGTACAAAAGGTCAAATAATAATACACAAAAATGGTGTAGAGCAAAATGATACAATATGACGTTATACCAAATAATTCTTTAAATTTTTGTTAAATTCTTTGAATTTATATATATATATATATATATATATATATATATATATATTATTTCTCTATTTGGCTTGTAAAATTTAATGTTTACTTTAAATGATATTAGACAAAACTCAAATTTAACAATATTCATATACTCGTATATGTTTGGTGTTTTTTGCTATTTATGGAACACGTCATATAATTGATTTTTACCTTATTTAATTTAATAGATTTTCATATTTATATAGTTTGTCATGTTACAATAAAATTGAATTCATCACATGTAAAGTTTATGCATAAACTTTACCAGCATTCAACACTAACAAGTAAGTAAACTTAAATTATTTTAATATAACATTGGTTCTTAATAATCTATTGAAATTGGGCTGAATTCTGTCAACAATAAATAAATAAACAATAAATAAATAAATTAATAAATAAATGAATTGTTCGTTTATACCCTTATAAGTTAATATTCTATACAAGTAATTATAATAAATGCATTAGGACGCAGTTGAAGCATTACATTAAAGATTTGTAATTATTTATTAAACATATATTTTATTAACTATTTACCACATATCACAATACATTGAATGTAGATAGAATGAAAACTGAGAAAAGTTTAAAGCAAAATACTGTGATGACTTACAAAATGTTTGAGTTGTTTAATTGATAATCAGTATTTTCACTAAATGGAGGTATATATTTTATGACTGTATAGTATTTTGGCACATATTATTTGAAAAAAAAATTTTGTATAATTTCTATTTATACATGTCACGTTTAAAATTTATAAATATTTATTTAAACTTTTTGTACATTTTAAAATAAATATTATTTAGTTAAGTGTTATATATATCGGAGTTAAATAACAATTAATACATTCAATATTTACATAAATTTTATTGAAAGTAAAATAATTCACGTAGTGATATTCTAATCAACTAAAATCAATTTTCTGCTAAAGGTTGAAAGATTAGTGCAAAATTATTTTTCGCTTGAACGTTCTTATAAAAAAGTATATTTTTATAATATGGAGCAATATTAATATTTATTTGTTAATAGATAATTGAGAACAGATGAAAACATGTCATTAACAGTGCGCAAAAAGAAACAAGTAGAAATAATTTTTTGTATAAAAAATGTTTTTCATAAAAGATCAAATTCAAAATTATTACACTTTATTGAAACATGAATAAAGAAAAATTGTGCAAAACGTTTATCTATAAGAATTCGATTGGAAATTGGATCATCGATGATTTGATTTCATTTAGATAAAATCAGTTTCGAATCTATTTGTTACTGTGTGTCGAATGTTTCATACGCATTTAATTTCAAATTAATTATTAATCTTAACATGATAGTCTCGTGCTCATCTGTACATTATATACTCCCTGCAGGTAAAGCTATTGAAATAGCAAAATATCGAAAGTTAATTATTTTGGTGTATTATTTCATATAAAAATAGAAGTTTTATCAAATTTTTTGATGATATTATCAATTTTTAACAAGCTATAATTCAATAACCAAATGAGCTATACGATAAAATAAAAAAAATCTAATACAGAAGATAAAAATAATAAGAAATTATTATTTGCCAGCACTTGACTATTTAACGCTAATTAAGAGCCAATGCCTGTCTTAATTTTGCTTATAATAAATTCATGGCTAAGAGTTATATCGCCATAAAAATACGTTTGCCAATACCCAAGACATTGCAATTTAATTTTACTCTCCGAGGGCACATATTTCTTCACCACTTACCTCGTTTTATCCCGAATGAAAAATCTTCAGACTTTTATACCTCATTCAGTCCTTCTGATTTCTAGGATCCTGTAAAGGCAACCACCTAGCAGTAGCCGATTTCGTCCTGAACATTTCAGCGAAGAATTCCTTTTCTTCTGGAGCCCTTCCAGCTCCAGTTCCTACCGTAGCCTTACCTAAAGGCTCGCTTGCTCCCAAAAGACTGTCGTGCAGGACGCAAAATTCAATGGTACTCCTGCGAAGAGTATCTCGGGATAGGTCAAAGGTCAGGGCTTCGTTAAATACTGGGTTCACGGTGTTTCTGTGGACACTAGTTTTGCGTTTCTTGAGTCGTTTTCCATTGTGGAGTAAGGATACTTTCACGAATGGATCTATGGAACATATATCACGTGTTAGTTATAATACATTCCTAATTAAAAATCAATTTGCATTCACCATCACTCTAATATTATTACTATCAATTAAATATTAGTATCAAAAAATTCTTTAAATTCAAATGCATTCAATGTTTTTTAAATACCTGAAGAAGTTCGAGAGTCATCTACTACTCTAAGGTTCCGAGCTTTTATAACCACCACAGTAAGTCTTTCAGCTGATGGCAAATATGACATAGATATCATCAAATCTCCTAAATCAGCTTTTGCATCCCTATCTTCACAAGGGCCTAGTCCACGCCAAATGTCCACACGTTCCGACAAATCTACTTGGGATAAGGGAATCTGAAAATATAAATGAATGGTTTATTATATCATTGTTAACTTTTTTAAACATTTCTGAAAGACAAAATATAGTTAAGGAAAAATTTACCTGAGATCCACCTATGCAGACGTGCCTGCTATAAGCATCAAAATCGTAGAGCAAAACTTCAAGTGTGCGTAATGCAATTGCTGTAGGTGATACTTCAAACACAAAATCTTCATCGAAAACTACAAAATAAAATTTAAGGAAAAATTTATTTTATGTTATTTTTATCAGTGTTTATTATTATATTTTTACCTGGATTAAGTGTTCGTTTATGTATCCTAGTTTGCCAAACATTGTTTCGATCAGGCAACAAGCGAATTTTAGCGTAAGGATCAGCAGTTCCACTAAAATCTCTTGCTTGAAGATCTTGTGCCTGTTATATAATAATTTATTTAGATTATTATTAATCTTACTAATTTTATTTTATTTATATACCTCGATAAGTCTGACGGTAAGTATTCCCGCAGAAGGATCATATTGCAAAGTTATATGCATTGAACCTTGTATTGACTCAGAATTGTTTGGAGTTCTAGGTGGAGAATCCTGAAATTATGTAATAGAAAATGTTATCTTCTAATGATTTTGATTAATCTAAGAAAAAATGATCTATAGGTTTTCAAATGAATAGCACACTTGAAACTACTTCACTAAAATCATATTTCCAATTATGATACATAATTAAAAAATATTTTATTAATATTTAGTTTACCTGCTGGTACATTGAAGAATCAATTTTAGTGTGATCTAATTTGGCCTGCATAGAGGCAACTCGTGGTCGAGATGGTGGTGCTGCTGCTAAGACTACGTGGCGGTCATTTCTGGTGAGTGGACAAGGAGGACATGGTGGTGTACTAGTACCAAGAGTATGTAATGAATCACCACCAAAAGATCTATGTGAACAAGGAGATTCTGGGCTACCAGCTAATGATTCATCTGAAAATAAATTGAATAGGTAAGGCTTAAGTATTAAGTAGTAAGCATTAAGTCTTAAGCTATAGATTGGAAAAAAATATAATTAATGCAGGAACAAACTATTGTTCGAAAAATGAATTTTAAATATAATGATATAATCAGAAGGATATGAAATATATATAATAATATATAATTTGACAAATGAAACCATTAAATTACTCGTAAAATTCTGCAAAGATTTGGCTTAAAAAACGCCACTTTTAGTCTTGATTAATGCAGAAATACTTCCTTTCTCTTGTTTATAAATTCACACAAAATATTTTTATTTATTTATATTACCCGGTGAGGGTAAGTCATCACTACTTCGTCTTTGTAGTCTACTTGGCACCCAAAATGAATCAGGCGATGAGTCCGCGTTTCTAGCACCCTGGTTGCCATCACTTGGCCCAGGGCATGCTGAAGCGCAACCAGCACTCATCAGTGCTTCGTGGCTAAAAAAGGAATAAAACTTTTAAAATATACAAAAACATGAAATAAATAGTATTGTGATATTAACTATTACTAATACATAAACTCGACACAGATTTTGAGAAAAAAGGCGCCTCGAGGATCATGCCAACCCAGAGAACTACGCCACAAGGGCAATTTTGAGAAATAAATTCAGGTTGCATTAAAATATCAGTTTTCAAAACCTCTGACTTATAAATATAAAAACAAATTTATACATGTTGTTGGGCAACTGTATAAGTATTTTCATTTACTTATTGGCCATATGAAAACATCATTTTTCTTAATATCCAATATTGAAAATTAATAAACAATTATGAATTAGTCAACACGTAATTAGCATATAATTAATACATTTTAAAAAATAATCTAAAAGATATAATATTTTAATTTCATGCGAGGGCTGGTATCACCTTCTTTATGTATTAAGCACTTAATCTACCATATAAGTTTTTTTTAAAAAATAACTTTATTCTGAAATCTGTTCATACCAAAACAATAATCAGAGACTGCTAACAAGGTACATACAAGCCAAAATTAATTGTTTGATCAACATAAGCAGAAAGTTTTCAAGTCGGATGCTTATTTCTCTCAAAAACTGCCATTTTTTGTACGTTTAGCTCGGTATCTCCAAAACGGCTGGGCCTGCCTTTGCCAAAAACTAATCACCCCTTCTCCCCATCCTTATGAATTAAATGTTTTTTGGATCATTCAAAACAGATATTCCGTTATTTTAAAAACTCGATTTCTATTTTCTGCACTCATTGCTCGGTATCTCCAAAACGGCTGGACCGACTTTTGGCAAAAACTAATTAATTTCCCTCTCAATAGGACTCGAATGTTTTTTGAAAACATTCAAAAATTGTATCCATACATACATACACACACACACTCACACATCTATTTTTTCTAAGGTATGCCAAAATGTTCAGAAACCTTCCAAACGTGATGATATGCAAAAAAATTCAATTTAGATTTTTGTGCGATAACAATAAGATAACAATATGTTGTCTGTGGGTAGTTTTTGTTTAGTCTGGTGAGCAGGTTATCATATAAGCAGTGGTGTTGTGCTATTATTTTTTTGCCGGAACGCTAAAATTTAAAAACCGGTTCAAAAACCCGTTTTCATGTTTGTTCCGGTTTCTTTCGAAAAGGAAAGGAGCAAAAATTATTAAAAAAGCCCATTTTGTGCACATATATGTATATTTATTACAATAATAAGAACATTTAATAAAAAATAGTTGAATTATAATTTATAAATTTCACTTATAAAATTATTTTCTGTATGTAGTGATTTTTTATTTTTTTTTTTTCACCGGAACGCGTTCCGGCCCAAAAATAATTTGCCGGAACGATGTTCCGGCACGTTCCGGCTTGACGACACCACTGCATATAAGTGCTAATTACATTCATCAACATTATTGTATTATGATTGCAGAAATTTTAAGGTACTCTTCTAAATATTATATATTCAATGAACCAAAAAAATAAGTTATGTTCAAGATGAAGCTCGTTTTAAAATATATTCTCCTCTACGATGGCTTATATACCCATATGTATCAACGTCAGTGAAACAACTATAAATAATAAATAAGATAATACTTTCACCTGTGTCCTACTTCTTCGTCTTGCGCCCTCTCTAAAAGGTTTTTTTCGAACCAGTTTAGTCTGTAGCGCTTGGAGCAAGCCACGTAGAACAGTAGAGCAGCCAGCGCTACGAATATGAAGCTTAACGCGGCGTAGCCGGCCGCCTGGTATATGGAGTCAGCATCGTTCAGGGCTATTCGAGAATCCATGCTTATCTGGAACTGATAATATTGATAATATGAATATAAGGTAGATTAACTAAAGTGAAAATATTTTTTTTCGTGAAACCCGGGACGGCAACTTAGTAGCAGGTGCGCTAATCTGGAACGAGACTGTGAGAGGGGAGGGGTTCCTAATTTTCGAAAAATTGAAAGTACCAGACAAAAATTGCTAAAATTTTTTAAATTGGAAATAGAAATCCGAAACTATCAATGTGAGATTATATTTTAACACTTTGGTATTTTGCATTCGAAAATTTTCGCATTCATATTGTTCGGACGTATTTTCGTTTTATTATATTAGCTATGAAGTTGACAATCTTCATGGCATTGAGCTTTTACACGGGTTGGTTGCTATCCCTGATAAAGGGGGTAGCGGAGAGTTTGATCGGACTAATTGTTCACTTCTAATTCTATATTTATATATTATATATATATATATATATATATATTAATTTGAAAATATAAACAAACATCTTACTGAATGATGACACACATCAAGTGTCGAAACGTTTAATGGAATAAATAATTTTGTTATTTAATCTTTTTTTAATTCGACGGTTGGGCTGCAAAAATATTACAAATATGTATCAACGTCGACAAAACTATCATCATATATATATATATATATATATATATATATATATATATATATATATATATATAATATATATATATATATATCTCTCTTCTTTCATTATAACTTAGTGACAAATCAGTGATTGTAATAAGAACTGCAACAAATATATAGACCAAAACAAATCAGTGTTTAATACAGTTCACAGCTACAAGGGTTAAATGTTAAATTATAACCCACGAACCTGAGTTATCGAAGGAGAGTTGTAATAAATTTTATAACTACGTAACATAAATACACATATAACTTATTGTTTTTAAAAGCGTACTTATTAACATCATTTTCAGATATTTGATGGATATTTGTAATTTCATCATGAAGTAATTGCGACAACTCAGTTCATACATATATTTTTTAAAAATCCGGAACAAAAAAATGAAATCCGCGACAAATATTGAGATTGAGATTAACACATTTTATATAGGGTAGAGCGGGGCTTAAAGGTTCACCACCATTATCTCAAAAACAAGTCGAATGTACAATTTGTAAACGATACTATTTTAAAAAAGAGGAAAAATGATATGTAATCATAATCAGCCATTCCCTTAAGTCGTGCGACATTGCAATCAGGAGATATACGGCCATATTATCAAATTTTTGAAGAAAGTATTTTTATGTCGTTGTTAGACTTTTTGTTTTTTGAGCACGGTTGTTTAGTGTACGATATCTGAGTATAATTTTTAAGTACATGTTATTTATTTGCTTTACAAAATGTATTATAATTTTTAAGTTAGATTCAACAGTTTTTTTATATAACCTCTAGAATAGCTCACACGAGACTGAGGTTAAAAAGATGATTTACATCTTTACCATGATAAAACAATAATAAAACAGTCAATAAAAATGTAAATTCAGTTTAAAAAAGCAATTTCACAAAAGTTAAATTAAATTAATAGTTATTCCAACTCTGATGATGAATTTTTCTAACAAAGTTCCACACGAAAGTTGTATGCAGTGAGATCTTTATAAAAAAAGAGCCCATAAAATAGGTATATCAAACAGAAGTTTGTAATTATTAAATTTCAAGAAACAATGTATCTGATAATAAATTAAACAGAAATAAATATTAAAGTAATATTTATGAAGCATTAAAAGTTGATAAAATGTTTTGTTTATTATGTTAAAAAAAACATATTTGGTTACTTTGATCAAGAATATTTGAAAATTTCTGCCATTGTGCAATTAATATTATAAATGTATATTGATTTTTGGGCAAAGAAAGGACATCGTTGCCTGTTCTAGATAATTCTGTGTAAATTTCCGAAGTTCAAATATTGGAAAATTATAATATCTGTAATAGCCGTCGAATGGTTGTATGGATTTTCTATTGCATGTATATGTATTTATATTGGGAAATATGTATGTAATCAAAACCAAATCAAATAACAAGGAAATATTTAAATTGATTATAAAAGATTTTATCTGTTTTTTATAGATCATATGTGGTATACATATGAAAATATTTTATTGCAAAATATAACATAAAAATGGCTATAAAAATATATTTTGATATTTATTTCAATATCAATACAGTTTAATAAATTAAAATTGCATTCCTAGTTTAATATCTTGTATTTAAATATTATGAAAATTTATGATAGATAGTTATTGCATTGGCATTTAATAACTTTATACTGTGTGTGTAGGTGTATATATAATATTATCGATTTAATATCAAATTTAATGACAATGGTTTGCATACACAATTAAATAACTAAATGTGCTGAATCCATAAGAAGAACTAGGTGCGGGTTATTACAGACATATGTGAAAAGGGACAAATGGTAACTTTATGAAATAAATACCAAAATTGGAAAGTTCTAGAAATTTTGGAAATTAAAGCAATTGAATATTTCATAAAAAACAAACTTTTCTACAAAGATTGTCAAATGGAGCCAATGTTTGAAAATCGTCACATGCTTTTTTGCAGAAACCGCAAGATCCAATTACGGTGGTTGTAATTTTATGATACTTTCTAATTTAGTCCTTTAATTTATATACAAGGATTATAATTTTCCTTATTATTAAAATGCATTATTATTTTTATATTGAGTATATTCTTTATGTTACATAAGATGACAAAGATATAATAAAAGATTTATTGCATTTGCATTTAAAATACCTTGCATAAAATTTCTTATTAAATATATTTCCCAAAGAGCTTATTTTACGCTGTGACGTACAAAATGCATACGTATCTAGAAAAGTTCAGAAACCAATATAGAAATGACTATTATAACTTATATAGAATTCAGAAATCATTCGATTGCTCGGATTTTTCTTAGATGCCAGATATTTGATGTAGATTGAAAGAAAAATGTCATTTTCTGTGAGATTGAAATCTTCTTTCATGAGAAAAAGTTGGTTTTGTAGTAATATAAAAGCTCAATTTGACTTCATATATAAGATGAATGAGCATAATGCAATGCATAGTGTATAAATAAAATACAAATCAATACCAGATAATGTTTTTGTTAATGAATTAAGAAATTTAAATCTTTATTTATTATCAAAGTACAGAAGCATATAAAGTATCATGTGTGGGCTATATTTCACGAATAAATCAAATTAGATATATTACTACTACTCATATTTTTTACATAGAAATCATTTCATCTTTCAGCTAAAAAAGATAATTAAAGTGACTTAAAAGGTTTTGAAAATTAGACCAATATTGCTGCTTTGCCCAACAGAAAGAAAGCTTTGAAAACTTATTTTAATAACATATGTATAATATACTAAATTAAATATTTGTAAATAATAATTTAATAACGGAAGTGCGTTACGGCAGCTAAGATAAGAGTCAAGTGCCAAAGATTTGTCATTCGCACTCGATGATATCATTTCTATACGGGTCGATTGTGATTAGTCGTCGCGTATGTGGATAGAGATCTGTCGTTGTATGCGTACCGGCATCAGCGTTGTATGCATACCGATATCAACAAAGAATTCGGCATATATAAATAAACATTTCAAAGTTACATCGTAGTACAAATCTTGTTTTAATAAAAAATGCCTGAATCAGGAAAATATTTTACTCTGTTTCTTGAAGATATTGATTAGTAAGTGTATTGATTAGAAATTATTTCTATATTATTCGTAGTTTCTATAAATCGTTGAAGTTATTAAAATGGAAAATATTTTTTAGGCAAGACAGATATTACAGCTGTTCAAAGAATGAGACGCCAACGAAAAAGCAAAAAAAATACAAGCAGTCAATGAATGTATGTTAATTTTAATTACATGAAGTTCTTCAAATGCAATTATTACATGATGAGTGAAGTTGCAAAACCAATATTTGTTTAGAATAATATAGAAGTTATTAATCAACAATTGCTTCATTTCTCTAATGAAGGTTCATTTCTAAATGCTAATTACATTGACAAACCGATCATGTCATATTTGAAGTATGACTTTAATTACATCATTGTTTATAAATATTATACATATTTTTAAAGCTATTATGAATAAATATAATTTATAATTTATCATTATATAAATGTGTATAATGGTTGACACTAATAAATGTGTACATCACGAGAGTTACCATATTACTAATAAACATTATTCATAATTGTTATATGACGTATTTATTTTTACTTGAAAGCCATCACACTTTTTTTTTGATAATTACGTTTAAATATGATATCATCATCATAACGATGATGTTGATTATTATTATCATCAATTTATAAACAATTAAAATTGAGTTAGCCTTATATTCTCCATAACTATGCTAAGGTTGAATATATATAAGACAGGAATTTTATTAAAAAACAATTTATCAATAAGTTTTGATCTATAAATAATTGACAGATCTAGACAACTATGATCAACTGCATATAATGTGAAGAACTTCATTTAATTGTTATATGTGAACATAAAATAATTTTTATGCTTCAATATATGAAATGCAAATATTAAAGTTTTAGTCAAAATATGTTATGAAACCATTTCCATAAAAATAAATTCTGCAGAGTGTAAAAAAGAGTACTAGCTTTTATTATTATAACCATTTGCATTTTTATGATGTTACCTTAGAGTTTCCATTGTACTGAAAAATGCTTTTCATTGCATTAAAATATTAAATTAAATATGGAGGTCCTGTGCAATATTGCATGTGCATCGCAGTTGCTATTTTAGTAATTCTAATTGCCATAGTTTATTACTGAACTAATATTATGCATTATTATCTATAAAATTCGACCAGAGTTTAATTAGCATATGATCATAGCTTTGTATTCAGCTGTGTTCATTAGCATTTAATTATCTTTGAAAGCCACGTTATAAAAAAAATAATATCCATGTATAGGTAGGAATCCCTACAATTTATATCACAAATAAATCAAGACACGATATTTTTTCA